GATATTGCCTTATTCACAACTGAGATATGGGAGCAAGAGCCCACAGTTCCTTTTTCTCATGTCTCACAGAGAGTTTGAAGATATATCCAAGTGAATTCCATGACTACTCCCACTGGATGCAACCCTGATAGGCCCAGCATAGCTGGTGTAGGTGCCATTCTCAGCAAAATGTAGGCCCCACCTGAAAGGAACTCAGGCTTACATTTTCCAGACTTACTTGTCAATGTGGGATCAGATCTCCTTATTCTGCACATGAAATGGACATCCGGCAAGTTAAGTGATTCTAGATTATCAGCTTAAGGGACCAGTAATGTCCTGGATCAGAGCGGTAGGTTGCTGCTCTGACATTCTGGTTGGAACTTTGGGTATCCTTTATAGGCAACTACATGTAAATCCACCTTGAAGATTCAGAACAAGGTAATATCCAGATCAAAGTAATAGCTGGAAGTTTTACGGGGCTGAACATCCAGTGGTATATTGGTAGTTACTACAGAATTTGTGGCTGTGGAAGCTCTATTGTACGCAGTCATCCAGTCCATGAAATCAAAAGCTTTAACAAACCTGAATGTAAGTCATTTATGTTGCAAGGTATTATATGTGTATCAGCTAAATTGAGCCTACTAACTATTTAATAGTTAAATCCCACATCTGTTTCAGTGGAAGCATCAGCTCTGAGCAAGTACTGTTCTGATGTACTTTCACTGGAGTTTACTGACAAGAAAAGAACAATTTAAAATAAAATTAATGAGAAAATCTAGGCACTGTCATGAAGGGAACAAAATATATGGAAAAGCAAACATAAGAAAAACTAATGTTTGTGTTGGACTTAATAATAATGGTGAATCAGATGGAGCCATTCATTGTGCAAGGTCTGTTTCTCCCGCTTGATGTTGTTTCCAATAATGTGTTCTGTGAATTACTTATATTCACTTAGATGACTCTGTGTTTGGTCAAGCAGAAGCTTTTCCGTGTGCCTGTGTTCTCAATAAGGCAGAGCTAATTTCATCAATAGCTCATTCTTAATTTTTCATTTTCTTTCTGAGGTCCTGTGGGGTTTGTTGTTTAAGCACACGTCCTTTCTCACACAAGATAATTCATTGAGCCTGTGGCAGGTCATTCTCAGAAAATGGCATTCATATTGGCTCAGAATAAAAGGGACCATTCATCAAGTTATGTTTCCTTTCAAGCTAAGTAGAAGGCTAAATCCACCTGACATTCCCAGTATACAAATAAATTCAGATGTTCTAATCATTGAACACATATATTCAAGCAGAGCTTTTCTGATGAAGTTTACTTTTTGTCCATTTTTCTCTGTGCTATAAAACATATCCCAACTGAAGAACAGATCATACAAAAGCAGCGAGGGAAACAAATGTCATTCACTGTCTTTCCAAGCTGCATACCTTTTTCCTAAAGATTCCTCTCCTTTGCAGTGAGTGATTTCTCATTATTGGTAATTGTAAGCTTCACTTCAACACCTGTAGTCTATTTTCCGATTGATTCACTTATAATTTCGCCAATCTCCTATAGTTTCTTAACAACATACTTAAGATAAACTCCCCTTTATTTCTTGTACCTCACTATCTCACCTGGGCTTTTTGTACCCTCGCCTTGAACTCTAACCAATTTCTCATATCCTTTATTATCCACACCACCCACATCCAACTCCATCCTGACCTGCAATCGCATCACTTTCACCTTACATTCATGAAAAATAAACTATTCCTGAAGCTCAATTTACAAGCCAAATTTCAATTTCCCTTGCCTTTGATCCTCCACTTTTCAATACACCTTTCCAAATATCGTTTAGCCTGTTTAAGCTCTTCCTTACCTCTAGGTTCAATATTTTTTTTTCTTTAATCATTAACAGGATGAGGGGGTCGTTGGCTAGGCAGCATTTATTGCCCATCCCTAATTGCCCCAAGGGCAGTTCAGAGTCAACCACATTGTTGTGGATCTGGAGTCACATGTAGGCCAGACCAGGTAAGGATAGCAGTTTCCTTCCTTGAAGGATATTAGTGAACCAGATGGGTTTTTCCAACAACCAACAATGGATTCATGATCATCATTAGGTGCTTAATTCCAGATATTTTTTATTGAATTCAAATGCCACCATCTGCCATGGCAGGATTCGAACC